TTTCCCTGCGTACACGTGATCGACACATCAAGTGTTTCCCTGCGTACACGTGATCCACACGTCACGTGTTTCCCTGCGTACACGTGATCCACACGTCACGTGTTTCCCTGCGTACACGTGATCCACACGTCACGTGTTTCCCTGCGTACACGTGATCAACTCGTGACACGTTTCTTTGCGTAGGTACCAGAAGAAGATCCAGACTTTCCTCAGAGTCAGCAGACAAGGAAGATTCAGGGTCCGCCACGAGGGGGCATAGCAGTGCTGCCGAAGGGCGTCGAACCTAGAGTTCTGAGAAAGGCAACATCTCTTCCCAACCATGTTGCTCTCCAGACATCGGTGCCCGATAAAAAGAAACGAAAGGCACCGGCTCCCCCGCCACTGACGCAACAACACCCCGTACGTTATTATTCTTGTATTTTTTAAACTATTTTAGAACTATTTTGGTATTCTTAACAATGCATCAAACAAGAGAGTCGCCTGTGGTATGCTTTGCTGGAACGCGTTCTATGGATTTGCAACGAGTATGACCTTTTGTCTACTATGTCAACTATAGAACGTTCTATCGTTCACTAGGCAACATGACGTACTTACATGACGGAGGTCTGCAGACATAATGACGCAACTAAACAAACATAATGACGAAACTAATCAAAAACAATGATACGACTGAGCAAAAACAATCACGTTGCTAAGCAAAAAGAATTACGAAACCAAGCAGACACCATCATGCAACTAACCAAAAAACAATCACGGAACTAAGTAGACTCAACTGAGCCACCGAGTTTTGAGTGACAGATTATCAGACTCTCTTAGGTTCTTTGCACTCACTGTCCAATCTCTGGCTTCCCCCCTCCCGCAGATTATTGAAGAGGTAGGCTACGAGGAGGACAAGAGAGACAGACTGCACTCACGCCAGAGCTCCGGTTCCAGCGGCTACCACGAGAACCTGTCCGCTTCGCCCGACAGTGCTGCCAGCAGCGGCAGAGACTCGAAACTCAGCTTCGAGACGAGCTCAGAAGAGGGCGGCGACTTCTGGTAAGAAACCGGAACCGGATTCGAATTTCAAATAACGGATTCAATCCCGACCTTCTTCTGGATGTAGTATAGTCAACGCTTGCTGTGGGGGGATGCCCATTATGGGGAACATAGGGTCCCTATATACAAAGAGTTGCGACATGACGAGTCGGAAAAAATCGGTCACGCGATCGCTGGACGCCATGTTGTTTCCAAATGGATCCACACCGCTGCCGCTCAAGTACAGCGCTGTATGGATACGCTGTACAATGGTCCGTAGTAATTAATTAAACTAATCGTGTTTCATAAAAAATTCAAAATTCACAGAGATTATAGCCAAGACATGTGTCTATGTGTATCTAGATTTCTAGAAATGTTACTCAAATCGTTCGCGCCATATAATAGTTTAATTAGACACTTTCGTACCGTTCATAGCCGTGCGTATATTAGCCTGTGCGATACCGCGCGTAGATACTTGCTAATTAATTAAACCACTCGCGCTTCAATAAACTCAAGAATCACAGAGATCATAGATAACACGTGTTTATATGTATCTAGATTTCTAGAAATGTAACTCAAATCGTTCGCGCCACAATAATATTATGATAGTTTAATTGTACACTTTCGTACCTTGTGGTGTTTACCTTGGTTTTGTGTCTCTTTGTGCGATGTGTCCACACTGTGCCTCGTCTACACGACGAACCTTAACTCGAGTTAGCATTAGTTGTCAGTCTCATACCCGCCACACACCGCGATAGAGATATTACCGATCCTCTATTACTGCATGGTCGCGTGCGTGTGTAATGTAAACCGTGCGTGCATGCGTGCGTATTTGTCGGCGTGCGTCCGTGTGCGCGCCGCCTGTGCCTGCATAGTGCACGTAGACGTCGCTGTGCGTGCCGGTGCGTGCGGTGCAGTGCCCCGTACGTGTGTACGTACACGTGCGTGCATGGTGGCCGTTGGAGTTGCGGTGTGTACCTACACGCCCCTGTGCTTGCGTGCATGCGTGGGTCGTGTCGTGCGTGGTCGTGTGGTGTGCACGTATCACGTGCGTGCGTGTGGTGGGCGCGTGTGTACCGGGTACCTTGGTTTGGGCGGTGCCGTCGCGTGCGGTTGCGTGCCATTGGTTGCAGGGCCACACGTGTGTGCATGTGTGCGTGCGTGCGTACGCTGCGTGTAGTGTGCAGGTACACGTGGCGTGCAGTGCGTGACTGCTAGTGCACGCGTAGACGCTGCGGTGCGTGCGTGGTATGTGCAGTACACGTGCGCTTGCTGGTGCCGTGCTGTTGCGTGTGCACGTACACGTGCGTGCCACGGAGTGTTCGCGCATGCGTAATATCTCTCGAGAGGAATCATATTTTGATCTCTGTGATTCTTGAGTTTATTGAAGCGCGAGTGGTTCAATTAATTATAGCAAGTATCTACGCGCGGTATCGCACAGGCTAATATACGCACGGCTATGGGCGGTAAGAAATTGTATAATTAAACTATCATATGGCTCAAATAATTTGAGTTACATTTCTAGAAATCTAGATACATATAAACACATGTGTTATCTATGATCTCTGTGATTCTTGAGTTTATTGAAGCGCGAGTGGTTTAATTAATTATAGCAAGTATCTACGCGCGGTATCGCACAGGCTAATATACGCACGGCTATGGGCGGTAAGAAAGTGTATAATTAAACTATCATATGGCGCGAACGATTTGAGTAACATTTCTAGAAATCTAGATACACATAGACACATGTCTTAGCTATAATCTCTGTATCCATACAGCGCTGTACTTGAGCGGCAGCGGTGTGGATCCATTTGGAAACAATATGGCGTCAAATCGTGGGTTGTCGCAACTCTTTGTACCCTAGGGGTACAGTATGGTTAGCGACGATGGGCCGTGGCATCGGATATGGCACAGCTTTTTAATGGGAGAGCTTTTGCCTTCACTAGACCCTGTTGCTATTATCGGCATCGAAGTCTCCGTTAAGGACATTACTATGAGCTGTCATTTAATTTCCAGTATGATCGGCTATAGGATGAGTTACCGAGCATTTAGACACGGGTGAAGATATGCTTGTGTGCAAATTAGCGAGTACTGCCTGGTTGAAAACTACCCTGCAAAAATCACAGACTATTCTTATGTGAATGCCTGTTGATATCTATAGATAATTCGTGTGCTATGTATCTATCGATCCTGGTGACATCTATAGATATTTTGTATAATATATATGTATAAATGTATGCATGTGAGAGTTGGACTAGCTATATAGATGTAGAGTGCTGACTCCCGGTCACATCTTCAGATATTTCATGTATTTTTTATGAATGTGTGTAAGAGTTGTAACAGCTATATGGGTGTAGAGTGCTGACTCAATGACCAGTGTTCTCTCACGCAGCGCGCCGCACCAACCCCTTCATCAGCGGAGAATCGTGTCCGACTCGGCTCTTCCCAAGTACCAGAAGCGCAAAGCCCCCGCCCCGCCGCCGCTGCCGCACGGGGGCGCGGCGATCACAGCCGACGACGTCGCCGCAGCAGCAGCAGAGCGTTGGTCGCTGGGGGAGGATGGCAGTGAGGGGGACACGCATGGAGGTGCAGGTATGCGTGCAGCAACGATTCTATAGCTGGTCTCTGCTATTGCTGGCCGTGACTGAAGGGAATGAAGATAGTAATTAAGCTGGTAGCTAACATAATAGTAAGCTGGTAGCTAACATGATAGTAAGCTGGTAGCTACCATTATAGTAAGCCAAAAGCTGGCCTATACTGGTGGCGACTACAGCAATACAATAGTTATGCCCTTGCCATCCTAAGAATCGGTATTCTCTGAGCAGCGTTACACCTGTGCACTCCAAGCAACTACGCCCGCCAGGATGCGCCACCAGCTAGTTAAAGATAACCCCGCGTACCCTGGGTGGCAGAGCTACGTCACGCGTGCATATATCGCGCGTAGACGTGTGCAGGGTATTTGACCCGCGAAATATAGAGCCTGACACCCCAGCGCTGATCACGCTACTGAATGTTGCATTAATCAATAGCAGAGTGCTCAGTAATATAGTTTCTAACAACAGCGTGTTCAATAATATATAGTTTCCAATAACATAGTGTTCAATAACCTCCTCTCTAGATATATAATTATATAATATATATATATATATATATATATATATATTATATAAGACTTAGATTATAGCTTCTGCAACCAATCAGCCAGTTCGTAGCATTAACGCCAGCCTCTAACTAACTAACTTTGCTCATACTCGCATGCAGTAGATGTGATTGTAATACGTCACCTATCGTCCCCGCTAACACCTAGTCTCGGCCGCTGTGTTGAACAGGAGGTCGTCGCAAAAAGAGCAAGGCTCCGCTACCGCCTGCAAACACGTTCCAGAACTCGCCGCAGACGAATTCTGTGCTTCCTTCCGCTTCCGGTAGAACACACGTCCCTGTAAATGAAGAGGAAATGTCTCTCCCTTCTCACGACCTTGGTCACGACCTTGGTTGTCCGCTTCCTCACCTAAATGCTTCCCGTCCTTCTGTAGACAGCGGCAGAAACATTCCAGATAGTTCCCGGTCGATTCCAGATGATTCCAAAATGATTCAAGACAGTTCCAGAAAAATTCCGGGCAGATCCAGAACTATTCCAGACGGTACCCCAAAAATTCCAAACACTTTCCAAACAATTCCAGTAAGCTCGCGAACAATTCCAGACAGTTCCAAAACAATCCCAGACAATTCCCCGCTTCTCCCAAACAATTCAGCGGCTATTCCAACCGTTTCCCGTTCACTCCTGGATGATCCAGACCGCCACCACTCTCTCGAGGACACTTCCCGGCGCGCTCCTGGTGGCTCCCCCGTTGCCATAACGACCGGCGACCACGACTCTTTCCGCTCGATGAGCAGTTACGAGTCTGACTCCAGCGCCACGGTAGATCTGCCCTCAGACAACACGAGTCACACCTGCTCCCCCTCCGCGGATGCCTGCCCCGCCGCGGGCTTCCCCGCCGCTCCCTCCCGCCCTCCTGTTTCCGTTCCCGCAACTTCTTCCGCCCAGTCTTGTTCCGGTCCACCTTTCTCCGCTGCTTTCACTGCTCAGTCTAGTTCCGTGTCACGTTTTCCTGCCGCTTGCTCCACTCAGCCTTGTTCCGTTTCACGTTTTCCTGTTACCTCATCTACCCAGTCTTGTTCCGTTTCGCGTTTTCCCTTCGCCCCGTCCGGCCAGCCCCCTGGACGTGTTAGCCACGGGAGCAGACTAACACCGCTTGCCACGTCTCGTGACACAAGCTCGCTTCCTAGTTCTACAGACGCCTCTAGAATCTTACGCCTAGGTAAATCTTGCTCTTGCTCATTAACTTTAGCTGCTAAATCATCTTCTCGTTCGTTAACTAATTACGTCTGATTAATATTTCCTTTTAGTAATTATTCTCGCTTCTCTCGCTGTCTGTCTGTCTTTCTTTGTGTGTGATGTAATCCTCGTGACTACTGTTACTTTATTCCGATGTGACGTCAGCTGAATAAAAACGCAATAGTCAACTAACACGTCTCTTACATCGGCTGTATTAATAATGCATCTAACAGGAGAATGATGATTATCTTCCCTATACCCTCTTGATTACAACCCTGGACTGCTGTAAAGCTTTATTAAATTTAAAAGCTCTCTAAAATGCTTTAATGAAATGCCACCGCGTCGCTGCCGCGTTTAGGTGGCAGCACTGTACATCGCTAAGTAACGCTGATTGTTTCAAACGCACTTGTTGTGCGAACCTAGTGCTGCCATCTACTGAATGATGAAAAAAACCAACCCCTAAGCCCAGGATTGGAATCAGTAGGGTATAGGGTACAAACTAGCTTGTTGCTTGTATAGTTAGCTACCTATAAGGTGCAGTCACGGTAATGGCGGCCATGTTACTCTGCAGCCGATAATCTAAGCGAGCCGAGTATGACGTCACTGCAGACGATGGATGAGATAGATCAGTCGTTTGAAGACACGATCGCCGCCGCAGAAGATGCGCTGAGAAAACATGAAGGTAAGACAGGCACACACACACACACACACACACACACACACACACACACACAC